TAGTTATTTTTGTAGACATTAGATACACTCGAAGTTGCTGAGACATTTTGTAAAACGGGAAAATAAAGAAAATAATATAAAAGTAACTTTTTGAAAATTAAAAAATGTCCATTAATAAATGCGATAAGTAAGATCCGAAAGATCGACTATCGATCATGAATTTCCACTGAAATACAAATATATTACTATGCATTGGTTATTTACATGCAGTCTTTTGCGATCCAGCATACACCGGTACAAAAATAACGTTTAAACGAGGGAAAAACCTAAAAGAGAACTGGCACTTTACTGGAACCTTAAAACGAACGTACTAAGAGTTAAAGGGGTGTACTAAATATTAAAAACATTGTAAAAAATAAAATATGACTCTCGAAGAGAGTGCAGAAAGGAAAAAGGAAGCTGCTTTGTGTATTACAGCATTTCCTTTTCACTCTGCCTAAAAATTAACACGAAATAGGTTATGGCAATCCTTATGGCGTAAATTACCAGATGGCACAGAATGTATCTTCGTTTTGTACCGGTTAGAATCTTGAAAGCTCAAGCGCAATAGCGGCAAAAACATTTTTCCAGAAAGAAATATATAGAACCGACATTATGACAATAAAATCGCAGATCCGTAGTTTTCAATTGTAAGTATATGAAATCCTCAGATATTTCCGAACGTGGAACACACATTTACAGTTACTTAATACCGAAATAATACATTTTAGGTCTTCTTAACAGTAGCACAATACTTTGTTAATCGGTTTCTGCGTCATAAAAAAGGTGGTCAATTTTGAATTCTATCCAAGAAAAAGTTTTCGTCATTACCGCTCTTTCAATTTCCCAATACTTCGCTTATTCCCTAGTTTCTGGCACTGTGCGTTTCTCTAAACTTGCTTACGCATCTCTTATTAACTTATTCTTTATACGGCTACACTTCGATAATACTTTTCGCGCGACCCTTCTATGAGCCATGGCAATCCTCTTTTTTTTATCTCATATTTTACGAGACTAGGAGCAATACGCGCACCAACGAGCAAACTCGGCTTCCGCTAGGGGAAAAAGTGAGGTAGGCGAAAGGCCTTCTATCATTTAATTTTGGGAGTTAGTGAAATTTATGCCAAATTAACATTCGGTTTAACATTTATTTCATTACTTGAAATAAATTTTGCCAAGTGATACTGCCCTTTTCTTACACCACATTTTCTCCTAGTGGAAGCCAAGTTTGCTCTTGAGGGTACAATCGGCTGAATTGATTAATTGTGTCCTACGAGAAAAACACGGTCGTCGCTTCTTCACACTATACATCAGTACGCAACATACTAGGTCTATACCAAAAATAATGAGACTCTATTTACAAAAGCTTTTCTACAGAATATCTTTAACAATTAAATGATTCCTTCCAAACCAGTTCCTTTGAGGTGTGACAACCTGATAGAACGTTTTTCCCATTCCTTGAACTAGCCCGGGAAGACATTACCTCTTAGAGGTGATCCAGAAAATAAAAGATGTCAGAACACTGTGTCCGATCCGACAAACGTAGTAAGAGATAAAGTGTTCTAGCATTGCTGTACGTTGAAATAAGGAAACATTTTCCCCATTATTAATCTGAAGGCCATCATTTTAATTCTTAAAACTATAGTATAAAACAACATTTATAAATACAGTCTCATTACTTTTGGCACAGTCATGTGGATAGGACGACATAACCTTAACACTGTTTTACTCGCTCCTGTGCATTCTGTTCTCTGTAACAAAGTAGCGATCAATATTCTAGTCGAACTGTGGTAGCACCTTGCATAATGTTCATCTCAATGCAACGAATTAATACTATGCTTTCTGAGATTCAAGATCAGTAATAAATTAACAATTTTTTAAATATGTAAAATATGGACATTTCCAAATGTTCGGATTCCAAATTTGTTCGTCCTTTCAAATATAAAATATGTTGACTCAGTTTTGACCACAAATTTGTCGCCCGTTTCAGATGAACAAAGTGTTTGGCAAAAAGGGAAGACCGTGTTCCCCTCAAATAGCGGAAATTGGTCGAACCACTTACACACGCGAACAAAACATTGCATTTCTTATGTTCGAAGAGAGAACAGCATCAAAAATCTTTGAAAGGGACAAATAATGAGATAAAGGGTGGACTCGTCAAGGCTGTGATTCGGCGAACGGATAAAATGAGGAACTGAATTGCGTGAACAGTTTACGGTTTAAAATGTCAACGAATGACTTATAATTTAAAAATTACGGTACCGAAAAATGTCAAGAAGAATAAAATTCACGTAGATAAAATGGTAACACCCCAGTCTGTCCGTTATATTAATTTCGTATCGGTCGAATATACTTGAAAAAACAGTACTATAATTTCGTAACAGCCGAAGGAATTTTATTATTAAAAATATCGGGCTCGAACAAATATATCCATCGACGTGCACAAAAATTAAAAACAAATGATTTTCACGGCGGAGAGACGAAAATTGGTCGCGGAATTAAAATTGTTAATTTTCAAACATATAATGTAGACAAGTAGCATTTAAAATTGAACGATATTCACAGCGGATGTCCTGAGTGAACAAACTTGCGCGTTTCATAAAACTTAACGCAAGTACCTCACACTGAAAGGGTCTAGCCGGGTAAGCATGGGAAAACGGCCCCCGCACCAATTTCACTATTTATGTTTTCCAAATAATACTCTTTGCCTAAAAAAACAACTGAGTAATTTTAATTTTGTTTATAAATCTCTATCCCCAAAAAATTAATTCCTTTATTTCTAACCTTAATAATTGATGTACAATTTTGGAAAAAATATATGTTTCAGAGCTAAAAATTACCTACTATCTGCATTTTGAAGTATTCAAATACCTTAACTAGTTGTTGAGAAAAAAAATGGTAAAGTTTGGGGGTGTTATACCCATATCACCCTTACGAGAGGGGATAGAGATTTGAAATTACTCACACGTGGTTTTTTAGGCAAAGAGTATTATTTGGAAAACAAATACTAAAATTGGTGCGGGGGCCGTTTTCCCATGCTTACCCGGCTAGACTTTTTGTGTTATTATAAAACAAAGTTGCAATGAAAAGGCCAGCAGACTGATAAGAAGAAATTGGGTGAGTTCAGCGCGCAAAATAAAGGAATACCTTGTGCATAGATATGTATGTAAAACTTGCAAAATTCCTCTAGATATCGACGGATACTTTCAGAAATACCATTACTGTAAAAGTCATATAATTTTGTAATAATATGCTATTCTGTTATTTATTTTCTTCGAAAGTGGAACAACAGTAGTAACATTAGAGCAAAGTACAGACTCCTCTCGATTATCGTCCTGTCTACGGGTCCGCGCCGGGACAATAATCGTATAGGGAGAAATGCTTCAGAGCCTCGTAAGTTCGTTTTTTGCCCGAAGCTCGAGCCTCTAAAACAAAAGCTCTCCTCCCCAGTGATGGGAATAACACCAGGACAATAATCGTGTAGAACAAGCCAGACGATAATCGAGAGGAGTCTGTAACGCATAATACCTGTGTACCCGTGAGACACACGCGGGTATCCGAAATAATCTGGTAAAAATCAGCCTTAATACAGGGTGTAACGAAACTGTTGGAGGACTCGGAAATAAGAGACTTGTGAGGTGATTTGAAACAAGTTTTTCCTTAGCGAAAATGTTATCCGAGGCTCTGTTAACGAGATATTAACGAAAAACTCCGACCAATCAGAGCTCGGCCGGCAGACACGCGCTCTGATTGGTCGGATTTTTTCGTTAATATCTCGTTAACAGAGCCTCGGATAACATTTTCGCTAAGGAAAAACTTGTTTCAAATCACCTCACAAATCTCCCATTTCCGAGTCATCCAACATTTTTGTTACACCCTGTATAGGTAAATATTTGTGACTGAAAGTTTACTCGGGTTAATAGATGAACGAAGCATGCGAAAATGTGAATATAACGTAGTACGTGAAATAAATGAGGGAAATTCGGGAATAACTGAATGTATCCATCGAGAAAACGAGTAGTGCTCGATGAACAGCATTCCGCTAGACCGTTATAGTTTTACGAGACGATATTTGCGCGCTGAAGGGGGTCATCCGGCAAGAAGGGTTGCATCGGTTCGGTCTTACAGAGCGACCGCCTCTCCCATGCTGGCTTCATTAGTTCGCGATGCACGACGGTCAAGCAAGTAAAAAGTGGTCGGCGCAAAGTGTCGGCCCATTCCCCATAAAGGTTTTATGAGCCCGGTTTTATGGGTGCTCATACTCTCCCTATTCCTCGTCGCATCTCATTCCCGCTGTCGATCGCCAATCTTTGCCAATCCCTTTGTCCCTTTCAGATCGAAGGAAAACGCTGAAATTCGACTGCTCAATTATAGAATTTAAGGGCTACGTAATGGCCGCCGGAGAACCGGTAATTACGAATTCAAATTTACGACAGCAGTCCAATTTGCACCGCGCGAATTTATGAAGTGACAAAATTAAGGGAATGTTCCATAAAACTGCTAATAACTCGGCGACGAGTTCACAGCTAGTTAGTATTCTGAAGAATTTTTAGCCGGTAAAGAAGGTTTCATCGTTTTTTTCTCCTTTTCTAAAAGATGCTTCCCTCTTCCACCTGTTTGCTCGACTGAATATCACAAGTGGTTCGAAACCACCAAAAAAAAAAAAAAAAAAAAAAAAAAACAATTTTAGAACTGAACTCGAAATACGTTTAGCCTGCAACGGTGAATTCCGTTCTGTATGGACTGAAATCTGAAATGGATTGAATTGTATTTTATATACACGTTAATTACCAAGAACGTAATACTCACGGATTAATCTACAAAAAGCTGCTAAAATCAATCCATCACCGGTTTCAAATCTTTCGTTCAATATCCGTTTCAAACCGCTCGAACAAACGACACTTATTTCGTAAGGAACTGCGTTTCACGACAATTATTAAATTAACTCCATAACTATAGCGATTTAAAAATCAACGCTATTCCTCTGTTATAATTTAACATTCCTTGAGCAAGGTGGGAACGTTGAAATAAACTCGTTGTGACAGTTTTTTCGACGTTGCTCGAGGAAAACATGCTTATAATCGTCTGAGGTTCCGCTTGCTCTGTCTCGAGCCGACAACTAGACGTTTGCTCCTCTTGGTCGGCGTGGCTAACAGGGGTGTTTTACAGGGGCCTGTGTGCGGCCTCGACGAACACGAGGTGCAAAATTCCATCAAGCAACCTTGTCTCGAACACGTTCCCACGTTCTTCTCGCCATCCACGTGACAGGGGAACGAACACTTTGGACAGGGTAACAAATGCTCCCAGGGCGCAAGTGTACGACTAGCCTGAAAACAGAATAGAAAAGATAATATAATTAGTTCTTCGTACATTAGCAACTATTTATTGGAAGAAGGTAGTTAGTGGCAAAGGCAGTTACCCAGGATGTTAGATTAGATTTAAAAAAAAAAAAGACTCGACCAACTGAGAACTGAAATAATTGTCACTCGACCAGAAACTTCAGTATAGGTTAGACAAATGGCGTCGAAATCCCTCATAACCGGCTCTGTTAAATTTATGAATGAAATAAAATTGTTGAGTAATTATTTTATTTATGTATATTTTCCGTGAATATGTATTTTATTCTATTCTGTTGAGAAGCATGCCTAATGAATTTTTTGTTTTTATGTACGACCGTTGAAATTACGCGGGAGTGTGTCTGTACGTTCATTGTTCAAAAGTATACTGCGCCATGAAGTCGTGCATCCAGGTGTACTTTATATTAGAACTATAGTCAGTATTGTTAGTTACGTGCAATTGTGTACATTATTATTCAAAAACACTCTATTTTACTAATATTAAAACTGACATTGGTTGATCTGTTTTCTGGAATAAACATAATTTAAGAACAAAAATCAAATGAACGAAACCAACTAGACCAAATCAGACTTATGTTTCTCTATTTCGTACGTATTTTCAATAATTAATAACTCGGAACTGAAGCCTGGATGCAATTTCGTCATTCGAGATTTTCGTCTTAGTTTGGCATGTAAAAAGTGTTCCACATTATTATCAATACCTTGTATATGCCGCACTTTCTGTGAAATTTATTCAAATTTAATCAAATACGTGTGAGCGAGGTGCGTTCCCAGTGATCAATTAACGAACTATCAATTATCGAGCGTCTACTGTATGTACCTAATAGGTGGCACAATAACCCCGCCTTTATGCATATGGCATATCGTAACGTTAAGCTATCGACACAAAAGTTGTAGTACGAATAGAGCTCGTGCTTACCGACCGATGATGCGACGACGATAATGCTGGCGCTGAGATCGAATTTCTACAATAAATTTGTAGATATATGTACAGTGGGTAAAAAAAGTATTCGTACACCCTTTAAAACAGAACAACCCTTTTCAAAATTGGACCAAATGACTTGAGTTTCTTTGTGAAGTTAGAAGGATTAGTTTGCTAAATGATGTGTTAAATAGTTGCAGTTAATAGTGAAAATAGTTGCATAATGCAGATGCATAATAATTGTAGTAACGCAAACAAAAATTGCAATATGAATACGTTCGTAAAAATAATTATTTTAATGGAACATTGTCTTGCACAACGGAGTTATGTTTATTAGTGTTAAAAGTAAAACAACCTACATAGAATGATCTAAAAACCTGTTAAGGTAAACCAACCTGTAATTGACTACATACCAGTGAATGACCATTAGGCAAGAAATGTAAATTATAAATTAAAAAATTATTAAATGTTTATAAATGAGGCGTTGTTGCACTTTTAATATCCCATATTTTTAGTTTAGCGTATTAAGCAAACATTAATAAGTACAATTCTTATTAAAAATATTTCAGAAACGTAGCAGTCATTTACTGAGCTTTTACACGTTTTGCATTTTATGGATAATTGTTAAAAAATTATGGTAAGGATAAGTAATTATTTTTTATAAAAATTTCAAGAAAAACAAATGTAATTGGAATTTCAACAGCTGTTTTGTTGTTATAAATAAATACATTCAAGTATTAATCTTAAACGTCCAGAAATTCAACAATTTGGTCATTCACTGGTTGGTTTACCCTACACGTTGCTAGTGTGAAGAAGCCCATTAGTAAGGCCATATTTCACTTATCGTGGGTTCAAACGTATCTGTTTCGAGATAATACAACTAATTGTGTTCTTATTTACTTAATTGTCAAAAACGTTAAGTAATTAGTGAACCAACTGAACCAGTCACTTTTCAAGTCCATTTATACGGATAATAATTAATCGGATTCGTTGCGTCAGGTTGCACCCGTCCCGCGTCACGATGACTTATTGCACTAACGCAAGGTGAAAGGAGCGCCGAGCAGCGCACACTAACACGAGAATTACAAGGAGTCACCTGCATGCATATACATATATTCAGATCTGTCATCGCAAGCGTGTAAATGAATTCTAAATTCTTAATATACAAAGCTACTAGCGTAACATCAAGTCGCCACCCTTTTACTCGGCAATGTGCATGGAATGCATTCTTTGAATATTATGTAGACATATTTAAATGTCTATAACATAACAGTTTATATCATTTTGTTGGGAAGAGTCCAGATAATTATTTCGTGTCAAAAGAAAGTGAATAACCATTACTGTAATAGGACAACACAGCTCCAAAGTTGAAAATTTGCAATTTTTAAGAAAATCTATTTCTTCAAAAACTAAACGTGCTGGAAATAAACGGTTTGCAAATTCGTATTTAGCTAATAAAAATCTACTATGAGCACCTATTGAAAATTGCAAATTTTTTACGTGTTCAACAATGTAATCGTTAGTACTTTGAATGCTCGATATTGATGTCAATCAACGGTTTACTGTATTTCTCATTACTAATCTCTGTGTAGACAAATAATATACAAACGTACGGTTTACGTATAATCAATAACGTAGGAAATTAACTCCATTTTCTTACTGCGCAAATAGATTCTATATCGAGTCTATGTCAGCATAAATAAATAGAAATGTCTTCTTCATTCGACGTCAGAACAGCCTGATTCTCAATAACACTCTACGGAAGAATTTATTGGCCGGATGTGACACTGAAATTCTCAAGGGGATTGCTTATGGGTGAATAATCTACAGAACATAAACACGGTAAGTCACCGTATGTATTTGCAATTGAGCATAGCGTCACGAACAATGAGCAACGTTGTCGAAGTGTGTTGTGCCGAGTATCTGTCGTGCATCGATAATTAGTACACTCAGAAAAACGCGTGAGAAAATTTCGTCGATCGGAAACGTCGATGAATGTGAAATCGAAGATCATCGGAGAGAACGTTTGCCTTCCTTGGTCGGTTGGTTAAAGCTGCGTCTACACTATACAGGGTGGTCCACGCAATTGTTTCAGATCATAATTTCGTTATAAATGCATTTATGAAAAAATGCCAAAGGGAAAAGATAAATCGAAGAGCACTACATCTGTAAGCCCTTAGAGTTTGTTAAGTGCAACAGTGCATGTGCAATTAACAATTGCATCATTTCTTGAAATGGAAATGCCTATTGTTTTGTTGCACAGATCGATTCCTCTCTTCATTTACGTAAAAAATTATTAGGGTACCATGGCAAAAAAATTATTAGTTCTCGAGATATTTTCAAAAAATGTCTTTATGGAAGAAAATGCTCTAACGCTTCTCCATTACATTGTAAACATTTCTGATAACGTATTTTCATTGTTTTCATAACTTTGTTTAAATTATCTCTACGTTATATATTGTGATTTACGTTTACTTATCTTCTTCAATAAAGACATCTTTTGAAAATCTCTCGAGAACTAATCATTTTTTTGCCATGGTATCCTAATAATTTTTTACGTAGAATGAAAGAGGAATCGATCTGTGCAACAGACAATATGTATTTCCATTTAAAGAAAATCTAAGGGCCTACATATGTAGTGCTCCTCGAGCTATTTATCATTCTCCTTTGGCATTTTTTCATAAATGCATTAATAACGGAATTATGACTTGAAACAATTGCGTGGACCACTTTGTATAATATAACACGTTATGCAGCAAAGTTATAAAATTTGTTAGAAAAACAGAAAGAAAAATGTTATGCACCGTGATGTAATTTAACATTTTTCGTATTATATAGCAAGTTATATGTTATCCATTGAGTGTGACGCCATTATTAATAATGAGACGCGACAAGTTATACAAACTTGTTACAGACTTGTTTGAAAGGTATAATCTTGTAACAATTTATAAAAACATATTGTATAGCAAGATTGTACAACAATTTGTTGTATAACACTGTTTTGCTATATAGCGTAGACGCAGTTTAAGAATCGCACGCTTTCGACCCGTGTCACTAATTTACGGCCGTGTCATTCAGATCCGACCGCCTAGCAACTGGGTAAATTCTAGTGATCGAGAAACTCGAAAAGAACCGTCGAAAGGTTGGCGCCGGGGCTTCTGGCAGGAAATGTGATCCTCGTGGATTAGGAGACATACGGATATACATACAGTGACTGTCACTTAAGGTGGTTCGTGCCAAATTCGAAATAGATCATTAAATAAAATGCATACAGATTGTTTATTAGAACGAAACACATACACTCGACAAATTTGAGAGTAGGTCATCGATGAAATAAATAAGAAAAAGCTTGTTAATAATTCAGTTATTAACACAGCTCTCATGGCTGCCTTACGATTTCTTACCGGCAGTATAATCTTTTCTATTTACAAAAATTAGAATTGCTAACTAAAAACTAGGTACTGAAAGTATAAATCCTAAGCTTTCTGGAAATTAATTAAATCTTTTACCATGCTGAACATTTCAGAAAGATATTTGACAATAAAGTACAGGATGTGTTGGTAGTTGGACGGTTATTAAAACTATGTTGAGAATTGGCAACGTTGCTGAAGTAGGGTCGTACCTGCGAAATTCAAATATAAAAAATATTTTACGTATTTTTTATTTTAATGAATTCTAATTCTCTAAATTATAATTATAGTTTAGTAAACTAGGTTGAGTAACAATGAAATAGGTTAAGTAGCAGTAAAATTGCTTAAGAAAACATAATTATTATTGTAGAAATGCTCACACACAACGTCATTCATGAGTTTAGACAATACGAGGAGGAAGCGTAAATTTATAGAGGATTTTACTTCATGGAAAAATGTAATTTTTTTTAATATTTTAATTCAGTGATTTTTGTTTAAAAAATAGTGTACGTAATGGGAACACTGCAGGAAAAACTTAAAAATATAGATACTCGTTCCACGGGTTTCAAAATTCGAGGAACAATGGAACACGTCGCGTGGAATGTTGAAAATTGGTTAGAATTTCTTAGCGTCAACGG